GACTTTTAAACAGATGATAACACCATCACCACATGGTTACCCCCAGTGTCCACAACAACAGAACAAATACTATATAAAGTTCTGCAAGGCAAAGAGCCACCTTCCTGCTGTTCTGGTTTTCTCTAGCCTAATCACACAGAGGGGCAGGCCTCAAGTTGCTTATGGTGTCCAAATCACCAGATCTCCATGGGACAAGGGCTCCAACTCTAAGAGTGAACAGGCTGCTCAGGAATTTAGAACCTAGGAGTAAAGGAAACGCCTCTTAAATTGAAGGGAGTTCCCAGAGAAGCTTCCAGAAAGGCTCTAGTTCCATCCTTTACCCCTGGTTCTTTGTTGTTTTTTTAACCAGTCCAGGAAGGAAATAACATCCAGTGTCTTTGGCAGATTATCAGAAGAGGGCCACCGAGGAGGAAGGAAAGTCAAAACACAGTCATACCTTTTTCCTCATCTTGGTGCCCCGATCTGCTATTGAATTCTTTTCACCAGAGTTTGTTGTATTAGCTTGCTTGGTAGTTCACAACAAACTCCCACAAACTGGGTGGTTTCAACAACAGAAATGTATTGTCTCAGAGTTTTAGAGGCTAGAAGTCTGAAGCCAAGGTGTGAGCAGGGTTGGTTCCTTCTGAGGGCGGTGAGGGAAGGATCTGTTCCAGGTCTCTCTCCTTGGCTTGTAGACGGCCGTCTTCATGTCCACATGGTCTTCCCTTTATGGGTGTCTGTCTCCAAATTTCCTTTTTGTAAGGACACCAATCATATTACCTCTGTAAAGGTCCTATACAGGTCACATCCAAATAGTCACATTCTGAGGTACTGAGGCTAGGACTTCAACATATGAACTTGTGGGGACACAATTCAACCCATAACACTTGTTCTCTGCCTATGGCTGTTAGTTTCCCTTCACTGTAGATGCAATAAAACAGAATCATAGGAAACTGGTATTTCTGTAGTACTTTATGTTTTTCAAGGGAGATAATAATCTCCTGGATGGAAGGAACCTCATCTATTTACCTTGAATACCCTAGAGCAGGAGTCCCCAACCCCTGGGCCACAGACTGGTACCAGTCGGCGGCCTGTTAGGAACCGGGCCGCACAGCAGGACGTGAGTGGCGGGCGAGTGAGTGAAGCTGCATCTGCTGCCACCCATCGCTCCCCATCTCTCGTGTTACTGCCTGACCATCCCCCCACTTCTGTGGAAAAACTGTCTTCCACGAAACCGCTCCCTGGTGCCAAAAAGGTTGGGGACTGCTGCCCTTGTCCGTGACACTCAATAAGTGTTTGTGGAATGGACCAGTCATCCTCTCATTTTATACTTTCCCCATCTCTCTAAATATTTTCTTGAGCCCCTAATCAGAGGTAGCATCCAATGCTATGCTTTGCTTGGTTCAACCCAAGGTTCAAGCAGATGAAACCAATACAAAGGAGACCCTAAACACCACGGCAAGTCCTGCTCTGAATCCCTACATCAAACACAATGGGCATTTCTTTTAGGTGATGTTCCACAAGGAGAAAAAAGGCAAATATTTGAGTTCAGTTCTGGTAACACACAGATCTATTTCTGTTTCCTGTCCGACTCCATGCATATGAGGACTTTCTACACCAGGAAGGCAATTTGGTTCAGAAATGTTTTCTTTCATTTAGGGTTCTGTTTGTTTGTTTTGTTTTCTGAACTTTCAGATCACTGATTGTGCCAAATAATTAAATCATAAATCTGGCATTTTATGCATGTAGATTACATCTTTTCAAAGTTGTTTTTATATGTGGAGTTTATCTGAAGCAAATGTACAGGCAAGGAGAAACCCCTGGATTTACTGCCAATAGAACTGGGCTCTTATGAAACCCCAGATGTCATGTAATTTATTTCTACAGTGTAGAATAGATGGATAAAGCCAATGGTTTGTTTTCCATGAGGCTTTGAGGGGTACTATACCTTAAAGGGGTTAACACAGACACAGGTCTGGAATTTCAAAGATTAATTCTGCCATGTTGGATCAAGCCCAGGAAAAACCAGCCTCCGAGTTAGGTGATGTTAAGAGCTATGTTCATTACCCTTTATAGCTCAGAGTCATCCTTCTCTACCAAAGGGACATAACTCTCAAGTAAAATAGATGATCACTTCCTTAGTGATACTGCTTCCTAAGGAGCAAACAAACTGGTACCCGGAGAGAGAATAAAGGGATGCGGGTCCTTACTGTTGGGTAGAGAAAGGTTCTTTTTTAAAAGAAGATAACATTTAAGCTGAGATCTAAAGAGCAAGAAGCCAGCTGTGTGAAGCTCAATTTACAGACTTAGTGATGGATAAGATGAAGGCAAGTAGGGGTGAAGGAGAGGGAGAAATCATGTAGGACTCCCAGGCGTCTGTCTTGTGCACCTGGCTTGGCGGTGCTAATGTTCCCAGAGATCGCAGAAAGTGGGGAGCAGAGGACTGAAGGAAAGTCAAAGGTTACGCTTTGGGTATGTCATGTTTGTGATGACTGTGAGAATTCCAAGGGGAGATGTCAAGTAGATACGGATGCAGCAGGATCCTGGCTGGAAACCAGGATAATTCGAGGAGAGTTTAATAGAAGGACTATTTACAAAGGTGTGAGCGGAGTTTAGGACAAGCAAAGAGAGACTGTGCGGTACATCTCGAAGCTAGTAACCACGCATAGGCTTGAAAGAGCAAGTGAAAGGGGAAGTAACTGGTAGAGAGAGAGAGACAGAGAGAGACAGTGCTGGTTAGATGGAGAGGGCGTTCTGGTAGGTGCCGTGGCCCTCAATAGAGAGATGCAGTCTGAGGTGAACCACAAAGAAGGAGCTAGGTACTAAATTCATTGGCCTCACTCTCCTCCTGCCTTTCAGCCTTCTGCTGGAAACTTCTATTGGCCAAACCCAGGTGAAGTGAGAGAGTCTGTTGATGTGGCCCACAAAGGTCAAAGTGCCAAGGGCACAGAGGAGGGTCAACAAGAGTAGAGAGTGGATCTAGAAGGACAGACAAAATATACAACACAAGGCAGTTGGATATACTGAGCTCTATTAATGGCAAAGTAAAGTGGTGCAACCTCTATGGAAACAGCATGACAGTTCCTCAAAAAAGTAAAAACAGAATTATGACCCAGGGTCTTGAAGAGATCTTTGTACATCTATGCTCACAGCAGCATTATTCATGATTGCCAAACAGTAGAGGCAACCCGAGTATCCACCAGCAGACAAATGGATGAACAAAATGCGATATATACATATAATGAAATATTATTTAGCCTTGAATAGGAATGAAATTCTGACACATGCTATAACATGGGTGAACCCTGAGAACATTATGCTCAGTGAAATAAGCCGTCACAAAAATACAAATACTATATGATTCCACTTATATGAGGTACCTGGAGTAGTCAAATTCATAAAGACAGAAAGTAGAAAGGTTGTTGCCAGGGGCTGAGAGGAGGAAGAAAGAGGGGGATGGAGAAATGTTGCTAAATAGTATAGCGTTTTAGTTTTGCAAGATGAAAAACGTTCTGGAGATTGGTGTCACGACAATGTGAACGCACTCAACCCTACTGCACTGTGCACTTACAAAGGGTTAAGATGGGGACTTCCCTGGTGGCGCAGTGGTTAACAATCCTCCTGCCGATGCAGGGGATACAGGTTCGAGCCCTGGTCTGGGAAGATCCCACATGCCACGGAGCAACTAAGCTCATGCGCCACAACTACTGAGCCTGCACTCTGTACACTGAGAGCTACAACTACTGAGCCCACATGCCACAACTACTGAAGCCCGTGCGCTATAGGGCCCGTGCTCCACAACAAGAGAAGCCGAGCACCACAACGAAAAGTAGCCCCTGCTCGCTGCTACTAGAGAAAGCCTGCGCACAGCAACAAGACCCAACGCAGCCAAAAATAAATAAATAAATTTACTAAAAAAAAGGGTTAAGATGATAAATTTTATGTTACATGTATTTTACCGCAAATTAAAAATTAAAACATTTTATAATTTTGTTTTACTTCATTTAAAAATATCAACTGAACATCTTTTCATATCAATTGAACATTTTTTCGTACTACCTTAGCAGTTACATAATAGTTGATTTTATTACTGCATATCTTATTTAATCAAATCACTGTTTTTTGAAATTTAGGTTTTCTACAAAACCAAACATCATAAACAAACTGCAACGGACAGCGCTTAGCTACCTCTTTGACACACATGCAATTATTTCCCTAGAATAAATTCCTAGAATGGAATTGCTGGGTCAAAGGAGAATATGGCTGTGTCAGGGGTGAGACTGGGGTGGGAAATGCAATATGAAAGCTGAAATATGAAAACCAATCAACAGAGACCTGAAGTGGGGTGCGATATAAATTAAGTGCTATATAAATATTTTTGATTGGAAAAGGAAATGTGATTTACTCATTCATTTATTCCTTATACAAAATGTACTGAGACTGCCATGCACCACTGTTCTAGACACTGTGATATCACGTTGTCCTATTAAACACTCTCTTCTCTCTCAAGGAACTTAAAGACTAGGGAAGAGAGAAACAAGTAAATCACCAATTTCAGTGCAGCTTGATACATGAGGGAAGGGAGAGATGCCCAAGGGCTAACGCAAGGAGAAGAGGAAGTTCACCAATCAGGGGAGGCTTCTCCATGGAACTAGCTGTGTGTCAGTGAGCAGGGTTTTGAGGGACAAGTCAGAGTTATTCAGACTTCGAAAGTGGATAACCACATGGCATAGCCCCCCTCCAAGATGGCGCCCAATGACCCTCACCTCCTGGTTATTTGTGCCCTCATGTAGCCCCCTCCCACAATGGATCAGGGCTGTTCTGAGCGCCCAATAGAGAACGATGGAGATGACAGTGTGTGAACTCTGAGGCTAGATTATAAAAAGCACTGCAGTTTCCCTCTTGCTCTACTGGATTGCATGCTCTGGAGGAAGTCAGTGCCCAAGCCATTCAAGCAGCCCTGTGAAGAGGCCCATCTGAAAAGGAACTGAGGCCTCCCACCAACAGGCAGCGCAACTTACCAGTCAGGTGACTAAGCCATCTCAGCAGGGAATCCTCCAGCAGCAGTGGTGACTGCAGCCCTGGCCAACATTTAACTGTGGTCTCACGAGGGAACCTAAGCCAGAACCGAGAGTTATATAAGTGATTACTGGTTTTGTAAGCTGTGAAAAAGTTCTGGGGGATTTGCTTCTTGGCAATAGTTAATTTAATATACTACGTATCAAGCAGAGCTTAAGATGTCTAAAAGTGGGAGATATTTGGAGTGACCCGAGAGAAGGTTACATGTGGGGAAAGCGCAGGAGCTGGAGCTGGAGAGGAAAGCAGGGCTAGATTATTCCTGGCCGTGGTACACTCTGCCGTCCTCCCCTTCCTCCTTGCCAGCAGAACCAACCTTGTTGACGTGTTAGGTGGCCATGTGGATGAGGTCACACTGCGAGGATGCGTGTTAACAAGGTCAGTGGGCTGAGGGTAAGGCCTTGGCTGGAGGAAAGCCCTCCAAGGGTGAGCAGAGGCAGAAAATTACAGCTGCCCAAGAGTGACCAGTGAAGTAGGAAAGAAAAGGAGAAAGTAGAGTTCCAAAAGTTAGACTTTCAAAAAAGGGGGAAGGTTAATGGTGTCAAAGGAAACAAAGAAATCTAACAAAGGGACTTCCCTGGCGGTCCAGTGGTTAAGACTCCCTGCTTCCACTACAAGGGATGTGGGGATGAGGGTTCGATCTCCGGTTGGGAACTAAGATCCCTCCTGCCACGTGCACAGAGCAGCCAAAAAAAATTTTAAAGAAAGAAAATAACAAGGCCCGAGAATTGGGCACTGGAAGGGTCACCATGGCAGCCCCTGTGTCCTTTGTTGGGACTGTGGGAGCTTCAAAACACTGGGTCCAACCCTCTGACTCTGGTAAAACCCCTCACCTCTCTATCTCACCCCTTTGTCTCCTCCCATTTTCTCTTTTCTTCGCTTCCCATTGGCCATCTGGCCTCTTCCCTGCTCCCACCTTAAATGTCTTTGCTTTTTGCCTCTCAGTGCTTGGAAGAGTTTCCCCACAAAGGTCCACACTGCTCTCTCCTTCGCCACCTTCAGGCTGACGCCCCTGTCGTCTTCCACGTGCCTGAGTTGGAACCTCCCATCCCCACTGACACACATTCTCTATTCCGTCCTCCCCCCTCTTGCGCCCCTACTGATCACTCTACAGGCCACACCTTTTACTTGATGGTGCTCATTGCATCTCCCCTTCTCTAGGGTGTCAGCTCCAGGAGTTTGAACTGTATTCCCAGAACCCAGCACTCAAGTGTTCTTTAAATATCAGTTAAATGCTGCAAAAACAAGGCACAGTTCCTGTTTTCAGGACTCGTGACCTCCAACCAAAGTGTGACAGCTGCTACCTTTAAGGCAGGCACAAAGCACTAGGAGGGCTCCGAGGAAAGAATGACAGAGGAAGTAACTTCTGAGCAGAGAATACAGGAGCAGGGGAGGTGGAGAGTGAAAGGGACATCATATTCCGATATGTCTGGACCATGGGGTGGGAGTGGAGGCGGGGCGTGATTGAGACCAGACTGTAAAAGGTTTGGAGACAAGCACACTAAAGAGCCTTACCTTTATCCTACAGGCCAGAGATTTTCAAACTGTCCCCTGCGGAGCCAGGCCACTCGATGCATTCCAGCCTCCACTGCTTTACATATCGGGCTTCTGATTAGTCCCTCTTTTGAAGGCTTCAATTCCACCACCAGACTTTGAAAACCATCTCTGTTGGTAGTGGAAACTGTGGTCTTAACCACCACGTGCAAGTAGTATCAATCACTCCCTTTGATTGAGGGCAGGCAAGGTCTGGGGGGGGGGATAGGGGGGCGTGAGAACGTGCAGGTTTTTGGACTCAGCTTTGACAGCAGTGGGGCGTAGGAACCGAGCTTGGGCTTTGAGTAGAGCTCGCACTTTATCAAGGCTCAGCAAAGGACAGCGGTGGAGCAGACCTGCCTTCCACGCACATAACACACAAGTCCCGCTGCCTCGGGGTGCACCTGCGGTTAGCCCCTGTTGCACTCCCCGCTTCCCAAGAGATGAAGCAACTCGCTAAAGACACACCCTCACTTGCTGGCGAAAGTGGGGTTAGCTCTCCCAGCTCTGCCGTTTTTAATGCATTGTTTCAAGTCCTAAGCCACCAGATAAAAATAGTGCAACGGCTGGAGTGAGTGAGGCAAGGGCAAAGAACGAGGGGGGGAGGGGCGGGAGCGAGGCGGGTAAGCAAGGGAGTGCGGGGGGACTGGGCCGGTTCCATTAGGACCAAACCCGCTTCCTTATCTGCAAAACCGGAGAAACTCGTGCTCTCTGAGCCACCTGCTCATTCGGTGACACTTCTTTGCTTTCAAAAAGTGTATCAGATACACGAATGTGCCAGATTCCCATTTTTCTGTCAATTTCTAGGAAGATACACCTAAGGGAAGGAAAGGAGGAGTTTTCCCTTCCTGTATCACACCCATAACTCAAAGTGCTGACCTTCAAGAGTCCGCGCGGTCCGAGGGTGGCGCGGAGCGGACTGACTGCCTAGTGGCTACGTGACTGCGCGCTCGCCGCGCCCCTCGACGCCCGGGACGCGTGCCGCGGGCTGGCTCCGCCCCGGCGACCCGGGCGAGAAGGGGCGGATCCCCTCGCCCTCCCCCTCCTCCCCCGCCCCCCTCCCCGCCTCCTGCGCAACTCCTGGCGTCCAAGTCGGGGGAGCGTGCCATGCAGACGCACTTCCAGACGCACGCACCTCCCCCTCCTTCCTGGATCCAAGACGCCCAAGGTCGGCACCCCTGAGTCTTGGCTTCCTGCTTCATAGACTCACGACTTGGTGAGGCTCCCTGAGGGCCCTTCCAGCTGCTCTAAGGTCTGAGGCTGTGGTTTCATGAATGATGCTTTTCCACTCTGCAAACATTAATGAGACCATATCTGTGAAGTGCCGTGAGTTCCTTGGGATAAAAATGCTGATTAATTTGTCATTCATTGCTTATAAAATCCACTAAAAATGGCATTTTAAAATCAACATTTACTTAGATATAACAACCTTCCTGTACAGCTTGCCAAATACTTTAAACATCAGGCTGGGCTCTGAATCATTACTTCATTTTTACGGATGAGGTGAAACATTGTTTCTTATAATCGTAATCATCATGATATCATTATTACTGAAAGTGGTCCATTCTGAGTGAAAAACATAAATTGCTAAATACACGGATCTCTGAGAAACTCTCCTGGAGCCACTTTCAAAGAACGCTCCCCATCTGACCTTAAACAAAAGGAAAGGGCAAAGCGATGTTATCTTTTAAGTCAGGAAAATAAACAGAGTTTTCTATTTTCTTCCCTCTTTTGTAAGCACTGACATTTGAGAGGTTTCTCACCAGCACGTGAGCCTCAACAAGGCTGGGGCCATCTGGGGGGGCACCCTACTGTATAAGTTGTGAGGCAATGGAGGGGGGCTGCGGTTTTTCGGGAAATATCTTCCTGCTCTTTTATTGGGTGCGTGGCGTCGTCTCCCTGACCCCTGAAAGTGAGGCAGGGTAGAAAGGAATGAGATTTGTCGGTATCTACTTGCTCCCTTAGTGAGGCTTGGGTGATGAATGTCCAAGGAACCCCAAGGGTAGAGGTCAAGCTGCCTAACTGGTCTGGTGTGGGCGTGGTGAGGGTGATAAAGGAATCCCATCTGCAGAGCCCCTCGGATGCAGTTTAACCTGTACTGCAGGCCTAGGAGACAGACTGCCATGATTCTCTCTGTGGCATAAAGCCCAGGAAAGTTCCCTCAAGTAAAACAGCTGGGAAGTCACACAACCAGCTTTCAAATCCAGCTATCTGAACTCCAGCTTCAGAACTGTCTCCTTGTACTCGAAAGACACAGATGTCATGAATGTTCTCATGCATCATAAAAGTGTTGGTCCTGGGATGGCAGAGACTACGGGGGAGTGAGATGTGGGTCTCTCCAATCTACCATGATCTGGCTTCAAAGCAGTGGGATTCATGGAAAATAAGGCTACACAGCAGGAGTTGGCAGACTATGGTCCATGGGCCAAATCCAGCCCGTCACTGGTTTTTGTGTGGCCAGCAAGTTAAAACTGGATTTTACATTTTTTAATAGTTTAGCGGGGAAATAAAAGAATAATATTTTGTGGCATATAAAAAATTATGTGAAATTCAAGTTTCCATGTTCACAAAGGAAATTTTATTGGAATGCAGCCATGCTCATTGCTTGCATACTGTCTATGGCTGCTTTCGCATTACAAATGCCGAGTTGAATGGAATCAATGTTCTGTAATTCAGCAATACTGAACCATTGCCCCTAAGGGAAATACAGGGTTAATTTCCTGCAAGTCTCTGGTCACAACATTTTTGTTAACAGATCAATACATAACCTTATTTTATGTAATTCTGTTTAAAGAAACTTTATTTCAATATATATTGTTCATTCATTAAGGCTGAACTCATGACCAACTGGGGTGTAACTCATGCTTGGACAAAACTTATGTAACTCATGAATTTTCCCCTTTTAAAGCACATCACAGCGTTCTTACACATAGGAACACTAGACAGCACTTCAGAGCACTACACTTGGGGGCCGTTTGAAACAGCAAAATCACTCACACAACGCAATAAACGTGACACTAAATAGATCCCAAAAAGGATGTTTGTGTACAGTGTGAGAGCTGAAATACGAAGGCAGAAGTTTGCCTTGTTCACCCTCAGTGCTGGGAACATGGGTGTCAGGTGACGCATTTTTTGCTGCTCTGCCCACACGTGACTGCCAAAGCACCAAAGGTATTGATTTGGGGGTTACAGGTAAATGTTAGGGAGTAGGGGGCTTCCCTGGTGGTGCAGTGGTTGAGAGTCCGCCTGCTGATGCAGGGGACGCGGGTTCGTGCCCCGGTCCGGGAAGATCCCACATGCCGTGCAGCGGCTGGACCCGTGAGCCATGGCCGCTGAGCCTGTGCGTCCGGAGCCTGTGCTCCGCAATGGGAGAGGCCACAACAGTGAGAGGCCCGCGTACCGCAAAAAAAAAAAAAAAAAAAGTTAGTGAGTAGGCACATTCACAAGTACGGAACCCAAGAATAATAAAAATCAACTCTACTCGCAACAAAGACCACATGGCCTGCAAAAGCTAACGTATTCACTGCGTGGCCCTTTACGAAAACAGTCTGCCATCTCCTGCTCACCAGTATTCTCAGCCTTCGCCTGAAGAGAGTGAAACAGGCAGAAAGGAACTGACTCCTCCATAACGGTGTCCAAACTAGCGGGAGCTCAGAAAGAAAAGCAAAACAAAACCAGTGACGAGGTCAGGAAACTGGGGGCTCACGTAGTTGAATGTGGGGAGAATTTTCAAACTGTGGGGCAAAGCTTCAACGTCTTCCGTTTGCAGATCTGGTTTTCATTCAACAAACATTTATCTATACCTTTGAATTTGCAGGAGTTGGTGCTGAGAGTTGGAAGCCAATCAGTTACTAGTTTAAATAGGAACGCCCTCCCTTCATCAGTGTCCTGAGAACTGAAGTGTAAGGGGCCGCTGGGAGGAGAGGAGACTTGAAACGTAAGGCCTGGCCATTTTATAACTCGAATCATGGGTCTCTGAAACGGATTAAGCACTTTCTTTGCTTGTTAGGACTTTCTAATGTCCAGAAAGGGTTGGAGGCAGCTCACAACCCAAGCACGTGCTACAGAAGGAGGAGGGAGACTAACAGGATAGGTGCAGAGGTCTGAGGGGTGATGCAGTACCATCAGGCAGGCAGGAGGGGCCACGGACTTATTCCGTTGAGTTTCAACTTAAATTCTGAGGCTCCACCTCAAAAGACAAGGACAGGGGAGAGAAAGTCAGTTCTGAGAGCGCACTCGGTGGAAGACAGGCTTTCCGCAGCCCTTAGCAGTAAAAGCCTTTTCTGATTGAGGTCTCTTCTGGTGGACCCAGAGGATGGAGGGGCCCCAGCGGCACAACGCAAGCAGATCCAACCCAATGCCTGACTGCGTCCTGCTCTCCTCTTGGGGCTTCCCCAATGAAAATGCAGCTCTCTGTTTTCTTTGGAACCTAAGGATTAAATGTCTAAGTATTTACTTTTCTGGTGTCTGGCTGTATCCAAAGAAAGAACTCGAAGTACCAAGAAGAGTGATGGACTGAATAATTCTGAAAAAACCCTTCACAAGGAACTCTTTCTGGCCTAGCCTTTGGATAAGAGTTAGAAGGCATCCGTTCATGGGCTTAGAGAGACCCTATTTAGTGTCATTAATTGAGGGGCGATCCGTAGACTTTAGAAGTATTTGAGTACTGTGGAAGGTGAAGGGATCAGAGGCCAAGCCAGGAATTTTTTTCAGGAAACAGTTCGGGGTCCGCCCTCGCCCATGAACAAGTCACAGCTTTATTTCACAGAGAGGGCTCAAGGTGATTTCATCCTGGAAGATTTTCAAAGTCCGCCACCCCCGGAAAAAATTCCAGCAATGCTTCTACTGTACAGACAGAAAAACCGTGTTTCTCCTAAGCCCCTTGTAGAGTCTAGTATACCTGAAGTCCCTTTATGCTTACCCTGACCCTTCATCTAGGTGACGTATTTCTTCGTCCTGTTTCTTGACATGGAGACAGATACTCAGAGAGTTTAAGAAGTAGAGTCCTAAAATTCTGATCCCACTGAATTTCCCCATTAATCAATCATGTCCTGTTTCTCCCAACTACCGGTACTTAGTGGTATCAAAAGAGTAGCCATGAATGGAAGATGAAGCCGTGGGATGTAGGCTGGATAACGACAGCGTGACCTTCCCCATCTTCCACCCCACAAACACACACACTGCAGAACTGGCATCTCAGCCTGGACATAAACTGATGTGATTCTCCAGCACTGCAGTGTGGCCTTGAAAATCCTTGCCGGGGGTCAGAATGCATCCTAGCCACCGGAAGCACTAATCGTCCACTTTAGCATCTGATCTTATGAAGTGGATCTCCCTTGAGGAGTATCATACAGTGAGTCATTGGACTGGGTCTCTCTGCCTTGAAACCCATTCCTCCCTTCCGCCTCCCTGACCCCTACACTCCATCACGAGCCCCTGCAGGTTTCCAGGCAGCTTCTTATACCTGAGACAACCAGGTTCTAAAGATAATGCTAAAAAAAAAAAAAAAATCAGATGAATAGATTATAAGCCCTTTCGTGTAGAGGATTAATTTGAAGGATTTGTCAAGTCCAGAGGTCTCTTCCTGGCTTGGTGGAATCCCAGACTCCCCTTGTGGACCAGGCTGGAGAATTCCAGTCTGAAATCTCATCTTTGAATCAGGATGCAGCTTCTTCCCATGGTCCAGGCAGTTTACACTGACGCGCTTAAAGGACACAGGGAGGAAGGTGTAAGTAGCAACTGGAGTCTGACCCGAAAGCCTCCGCCCTTCAGCCTCATTCACATCTTTTTATTTTTTCCTCCCCAGATTGTTGCGACCACATTAATTCTCTTCATGGCTCCTAGTTGCTTCTTCCAGAGGTGATGCTTTAGGCAAAGATAAGAGGATATGAGGAGAGGCCCTT